GAATTTTATACTATTCCGCTGTTGACACGATCAGGAATCGACGCCAGCGGTTGAGAGGGGCCGGATGTCGCGATGGGGCAGCCGCAGGAGCGGAGCAGCTGCCTTTGATGAGCATCCACCCTCCGTCGATCATGGGTGTCACGTCGGAAGCCTTCGACAAGGGCGTGTCGGACTTTCTTGAGGACGACCCCTGCGGCGCATGGAAGGAAGACGGCAAATGCGCCGTGACCAAGAAAGGCGAGTCGAAACGCTTTCTGTCGCCTTGCACCGTTTTTCCCGAAATAATCAACATTTATGTTCGGCTATTGTTTGGATTGTCAACCTATCTTAATAGCTGGGATGGCTACCAATACAATTGACAGCCGGTCGTGCATGTCTAGCAGGTGTGCTGTCGTAGTCGCAATTGACTGTGGCTGACGATGCCTGGCCTTTTTGTTTGATGACGACGTGTCTTTTTAAGAACTCTAAAAGCCACTCGACCTGTCCGGAAATCGCAACATCGAAATGTGACAGAGAGTGCATCTGATGAGACAGCAATGCATGGTGACGACATTTACATAACCAGAACAATGTCCAGACGCACGAAGCCGGTGCGGAGCCTCCCGATATGCAGCGCTCAGCACAAACAGTGCTTCTTATGTAGTTGGTGTCTCACAACACCACGAAATGGGAGGTGCGGTCTGCTAATTGATGACGCCCGCTGTGCTTGCGTTTCAGAATTCGAGCAGCTTATGCAGTTGAAATACATGCAGTCGTTGATACCGCCTGGGGAGGCCATCGGCGTGATTGCCGCACAGAGCATTGGGGAGCCCAGCACACAGATGACGCTGAACACCTTTCATATGGCTGGGCGTGGCGAGGTGCGTGGCCCTGATACTGCTGCTGTTTGTTTCATTTGCTGTCTGTTGTTGTTGTGATTCCTATCACTCGTGGTCTGAAGCATTGCTGGCGAATCTGCTTTCTGTAACTTTAGTGTTTCCAGTCTTGGCAGCCGCCACAATCATTGCAATGAGAATGGGTCACATTGCTGAGGGTGCAGACGTTGTAATGCACTATGTTGTTGTGCTTGTTGCGCTGATGATGCAACATTGGGCATGCGACTTTGTCTTATGTTGTTCCTCTGGGAGTGTGAGGAATATCGATTCGATTCGCTTGCAATGAGAATTGCGAAGGCGCAGGGGGGGGACAGGCGTGTTGAAAGGGGCAAGCAGATGGGGTGTGAATTTTGATTCTCACGAGAAGCGAAATATGGTCATTCCAAATGATGAAATTGTATGTCTGTCGTATGAAGCTGATGAAAGGCGTTCATTAGCAGGGTATATCACCTTCAGCTGGACGACGTTGAGTTGTCTTACCCTTTCTATTGCGCCCTTACAACTGTTAGGCAAGCATGCCGATTTGCCAATTGGCAAGTTGGTTAGTTCTGCATTTGTTGGTACGGATAATGGTGCGCCCGCCCGGGAGGTTGTTGATGGTCAATGGGCCCAAGCTTCAGTTCGAAACGTGTCCAGAGTTGCCTTGGACATACAGATCCAGTACAAGAATTTTCTAGGAATGGACGGAGCCTCCGTTTTTAACGAGCAGCACCCGTTTTAGGCGAATGTGTTGCGGGTGCAATGCTACATCGATATGATCAATGCAATCTCAATTACGGTTTCAGACACTTTGCGGATTGCGGGGGAGCTACCGCGCACATGCGCTGCGCTATATAAAGCATAATGATTGGCATTAAGCCAGCGCTATAAAGTACGCTCATTGATGTTTGTGTGGTGTCGGCGCCAGGCCAACGTGACACTCGGCATCCCCCGCCTCAGGGAAGTCCTCATGACCGCGTCCAAGGCCGTCAAGACGCCCGTCATGACGATGCCCTTGAAGGCGGGCGCGCGTGCGAATGACGGCAGGGTTCTGGCCAATCGGCTGCGGAGGATAAAGATGGCGGAGTGCCTGAAGTCGCTCAAGGTAGGGGCCAAGCTTGTGATTGGTAGTCGCGAAAATGTAAATCATATATTGACGGAGGCAGGCAGGCTCGAGAGGTGGCGACCCCTGACTGGGGACGGTGGGCCCCAGTACACAGCAACGGCTTACAGCGGAGCAAAGGGACAACAGGAGTTCTGTCCCCCATATTCAGTCCGTTCATCAATGTCCTTAATGCAAGTCCCGATGCCTCGTCACCCCTTTATGCGTCCAGCTGCTAATGATACTCAATCAGTTCTAGTTATAGTAATATCATCAGCAGGTCTTGACTTTTTCAAGCACTGTGCGAATGCGCCCTCGCATGTGCTTATGCAGCGTCTGAACTGCAGTTCACTGTATCTTGTTCCGATGGCCAGTCGTGAGACAACGAGAAAGAAAAGGGTTGCTGGCTCCCGGTGAAAGGACTGCGGCGTTGGTGCGAGAAAACATTTTCTGAAACGCTGGGAGCAGGAAGAAATGGGTGTGAGTCATCGCCATAATTAATTTCCCGGGATTGCATTCGTCATGCACTGACAGATCTCAGCCCTTGCACCTGACTGGCGACGACGGGCGTGTACAAAGAGAAAGGCTGAAGCAGAAATGAGGTGTGCTTAAACATCGATTTCTGCGGCGCAAATGGGCCATTGCATCAACAAAAGGGATGCAGCGATTGTCCACAGCCTGATGCTTCGAGTCACTTTCAGTCATCTACTGCCCATTTTGTGAAGCCTCCCTGAGCCGACGAAGGCACTAGTGACGCAGAATGCGGTCAAAGCGCGTAAAGAACTCAGGACCAATGGCATTCATGCCGCCGGACAACGATACGTGAAAGGGAGATAGTAAGCCTGCCCGTACAGTCGCAGCTTTGGCAGAATCTGTCTGTGAAAGACGGGAGCGCAGGCCATGCTGACATCTGATGTTTGTCTAGTCAGCTTTGTCTGAATGCGTATTCATGTCTGGTTCGTTGTGCTCATGCATGTGTCCAGCGGCTTGGCCGGGTTGTTATTTTCATCGCCGTCAGTCGTGTCCATGCGGCCACCCCTCGTCTACTTCCCCTTCGTACCCCTTTGTCTAATAATGAAGCATATTTTGGCGGCATCTCTGCAGCTTGTGGACGGACAGTCCATCCGTGAACAGGCGGACAGAGGTGTTATCATCTGTCTGTGTCCGCGAACCAGCTAACGTCTGCCCACTAATTCGTGGACGGACCGTCTGTCCACACAGTTGCAGACGGGCGTGGAGACCCCAGCGTTCTGAATAGAGGGAAAGGAAAAAGGACAGTCGTTTCCATTGCAATTTGGCCCACAAACTCGCAATGCTTCCAACGCACAGACAACAGACCAGTACCGAGGGCAGGACCAAGACCAGGACCGGTACGGGGACGGAGACTGGTGCAAGAATCAATTATTAGAGCTAGTTTAGGGTTTAAGTTTCTCAAAGTTTAGTTTTTTTTGGGGGGGGGGGGGGGGAGGGTTTATATACCGGTCTTGTTGCTGGTCTCGGTGCAAGTCTATTGTGCGTATTGGGAACGCCCTCCATAAGCTCTTCTGTGGCTTGCACATTCGAGGTGGAGGAGTACCCCGTGGCCTCCATGGCTGCTTTCCCTGGCGGCTGTGGTCGGCTGTACGTTGTGGTGCTGGAGTTTTACGACATGTGCGAGTACCCCTCCGAGATGGACATGAATTTTGGCAAGTTGGAGGAGGCCTTCACAGAGCGCTTTGCGCCAGCCCTGAAGGCCGCAGTGGCGAAGGCTCTCAAGAAGCTGAGCTCTGCCGATGAGATATCTGAGGTGGGCCAGCAGCTGGCCAAGGCTGAACATTGCTGAAATTTCCAGATTGCTGCAGTAATTTGAAATTCCAGTTTTACTGACGTTGCAACATCACAAATCGCAGTGTCCAGAAATACGGCAAAGTGCTGAGCGCCTTAAAACGGCTGTGCAGAGTGCACAGTAGTGGTTATTTGCAGTGCGGAATGTGCTTTGGATCTATGGTGCATCAGTCTGCAACTTTGGCATTGCGATGCGTCCACTGTGCAAAGACGAACGAGCATTGGGCATGTCAAGTTGTGGTACCAGGGTCCACCTGCAGGAGCGGTGCTGTAGTTCTCTCACATCGCCTTCAACATGTCACAAAGCGATGAGACAAGACCGGACAAGCCTGACTGTGGCTGTTTTGTCCGTGATCCAATGGAGCAGGTGAAGGTCTCCACATCGACTCTGGACACAGATGCTCCTGACGCTGCGCCGGGAAAGGGCACAAAGAAAGGCAAGTATGAAGACGACGAGTCCGACGAGGAGAATGAGGAGGGCAAGAGGATGTACGCAGGCGGCCGGGGAGAAAAGGTGATGTCCATTTCTGTTGGCCATGTCCATGCTTGAAACTGGCCTGCGTCTGCCACCGATCATATTTGCAAGTAAGTTGCACATGTACGTGCAGGGCTGCGAGCGTTAGCTACGGTGCTCAATTAGCATCGTGTAGGCATTGCGCATGTGCGTTGTGTGGGGATGCGGGCAGCTTTGTCACATGTTTCTTATTGTGTTGCAAGTGGTTTGCAGCTGTTCGATATGCGTGTATAGGCGTACAGGCGTGTATCGCTGGCGTGTAGATGTGTAAATTATCCACTCTCACCTTGCTGGGAAGCTGTTGCTGTTAAAACCGCGCGTCGCACCATTTTGGAGGCTTTGTGGTGCTTTTAGCGTTGGGTTCGATTTCACTGTCGCATTTCCTTGCCCGAGGGTCAATCGACGAACGCAGTCGAAATCGAAACGGAATCGAAACTTCGGTCTGTTTTGAGCGCAAGGATCGCGACGTCTGCAGGTGACGTACGACGAGCCAGACGAGGAGGACAAGAAGGTGGCGGACGACGCCGACCGGGAGACCAAACGGCGCTTCGGGCCGTTGCTGTCGGGGCACGACGACGAGGAAGACGAAGACAAATCGGCAGTCAATGCCAAAGCGTCGGACGACAAAGCCGCCGGTGAGTCCTCCCATGCCAAGGCGGAACCAGGCACGCCGAATCCCGGCCAACGGGGCCCTTCTACCAGAGCGGATGTCGCGCAAGGATCCCGGGGGTCGCGGCCGGCTGTCGATCGGGTTCCGTTGACGGCGGTCTCTGATGAGAAGGTGGACAGGGACGGTGGCCTGTGTGAGCAGTGCTTCAAGCTTCCGCTGGACGCGCCGAAGCTGCTGATGCTGGAGCTGGCGGAGGCGACCGCCGCGGAGACGACGGTTCGGGCGACTGCAGGTGACGTGAACAGCCCCGGCTGGCGAGCCTGGCCACGGCTTGCCAGATTGCCACCATCAAGTGCGCGTGGATCTTCACCTCGTTTCGGCCAGTTTGGTGTTCTTTTGAGCGCGAGTTGAAGGCAGCATTCAAAACGAGTGCGCAGCATTTGTTCTCCGACCGGCGGCAAATATCGGCCGAAGAACAAGAGTCCGGCGGCGGAACATGGCCCCGCAAAAGGGGACCAAGTCGTGCACCACAGCTCCGTTCTCTACGCGCCCACGCGACTCTGCGAAGCTTGCGGCGGCACGCTTTCCGGCAGATCACTCCCAGCTGTGGTGACGTCATTTCCGAAGCGCTACCTGCATCACCCGCGAATCAAGGACGACACGCCAGTGCTCACAGAATCATTTATTCCGATTTTCAGCCCCGCTGCCCAGCGTGACACCTACCCAGCCCTGTGGGGGGGATAATCCGGCACCTGTGTTTACGGATTTGAAAGGCCACGAAGGGATCACGAAGGTCATGAAGGGTACTAGGGACCTAAAACCCTAAAATCAAAAAATTACTCTACAACTGAAAATGACCTTCATGACTTCACACCTTCATGACCTTGATCACCATCAGGACTTAATGTCCGGACAATGAAGAACTAGTGGAGGCCAATGAGGACTCATGAAGGGCGTCGGACGTTGGCGCCCGGTCCCCTGCCGCGCCCATTTTCTTCAACCCCGTTCCCTGCCCGCAGGCATCAAGAAGTGCTACGTCGTCGAGGCCAAGGGCGCCGGCGACTGGGGCTCCGTCCAGACGGATGGCATTAACTTCGCGGCGGGCTTCGCCAACAGCGACCTGGTGGACGTGGGCCGGGTCACCGCCAACGACGTGCACGCTGTCCTGGAGACGCTGGGCGTCGAGGCCGCGCGCAGCACCATCGTGAAGGAGGCCCAGGCCGTGTTCGGCGCGTACGGCATCGGCGTCAACGTGCGGCACATCGGCCTGGTGGCCGACTACATGACGCACCACGTGAGGGGCGGGCCGCAGGGCCCAGAGCGCCGGAGGCGGTTCCCGCTGCGTTTTTCCCTATGTTCCCTATACATTGTCCTACGTATTTTCCTGTACATTTCCCTATATATTTCCCTACATTCCCTATGTACATATGTGCCCCAGACCATAAACGCCCAAGCGGCTAACGCTAACGTCCAGCAGCCCAATCCTAACCCACTACTGCTTCCGCCACAGCCTGCGTAGGCATGGTGTGTGTCGGAAATTGTGTGGAGCGTCCTGGCACTAATGCTGGCAGAGTATTGGCCGTTTTGCGCCATTGCTTTGTTCATCACCTATTCCAGATTTGGGTTTCGATTGTGCCAAAAGAGACCAAAGTTGTGTAGTTTTCGTTTCATGCCATTCTTGCACTTTCACATTTTCCCCTTGAAAGAGCCGGGCGAGCAGAGCAACGAAATATCAATATCGGCATTCTCAGATCGGTCTGAATGGACCCCTTGTGGCGCCCTGCAGGGCGGATACCGTGGGTGCAATCGCATGGGCATCGCCACCAACTCCTCCCCTTTCCTCAAGATGACCTTCGAGACGGCGACCAACTACCTGCGACAGGCCGTTCTAGCAGGCGCCTCAGACCCTCTCCAGGCCCCCTCCGCTAGGATCGTTGTGGGCCGGCCACCGCAGGTGGGCACTGGGTGCATGCGGATCATCCAGAAGCTGTGACGAACAGTGCCTGTGGTGCTCAGGGGCGCACAAAATCTGGATTGGGGCTTGAGAACCATGATCTGGTCATCGGGAGCTTGGCGAATCGGAATTAGATCGATCTGATTCCGGTATCGAATTGAGAAATTCGATATCCCATTTCGGTGTCGATACATCCCGATTCGATATCGAATTGGGAATCAGAAGCGGATTCTGGTAGCTGGAGGCGGAGACAGCGTGGGTTTCAGCGACGCAGGCGCGACAGTCGTCTGCAGATTATCCGAGGGCCTCTGCCACAGGGTTCCTGCCTGGCCAGCGCGTCGGGAGTAGTGTAGTACACACATGGTAGGGGAATTCCAAAGTCTGCATTTCGATCTAAGTATTTGATGCGACAGACTCGTGGATGTTTTTCTGTGTGGGTGGGGGGGGTGGGGTGGGGGGGGAAGGCAAATAGGTGTCCAGGCAGGGTTTGCTGACCGCCACTGCATTGGCTCTGCAGCATATAGAATAGAATTGGCATGTCTCAGTAGTATGCAGATCATTCTGAAGCAACGCTGAACTTTTACTGTTTATGACGTTTGACACCATCTTTGGCGACATTGCTGCCAGCGAAATAATGGCTCTAGTAGCGACTGGGCGGCGAACTTAGCACTGCGTTCCCATTCCCCTACGGCGCGCTATGGAGCACACATGTGTGTTAGCACCATGCAGGCATTACGGTATCAGGGTTATATGTTCTGACCTTGCACGGTTATGATACGGACATTACATAGGCCTGTATAGTTCGGATTTTGGGAGGACAGAAACGACTATTTATTCACACGTGGTGAACACACAAGTCAGCAAAGGACGGGCTGTTCTCCGAGCAGTGAACGCATCACTGAGATGCAATTACGGGAACATCACGAGCGCCACCGCTGATGGCATTTTATGCCTTTATACCTTGTAGGCCTTTGGACACACTTATTAAGTTTGCTTTCCTCGATGAGCTGTCTCCTGCTGAACGCTACTCCTAAACTTCACAACGCTGCCACTATCGCCCTCGGCTACCAAACTCCTGCAAGCCACCCGCCCAAACTTCAATCTGTTCCCATCCCATCCTACCTTGCACCAATCCCCACGCGGCGAACCACGTACACCCTTGGCCCTGGTGCGACCAAAGCCCGCATTTTTAAGGCAGCTGAAACAAAGAATCCTGGCGTCAAGCCCGCACGAGATACCTGCTCCCCGGCGCCGGGGGCTCGAGTTCCAGTGTGCCCGACGAGTCGTAGGCGTCCGCGAACCGGCAGTAGCCCCCCCTCACGTCCGGCGGGAAGGCGTCCTCCAGGCTGTCCGTCTGCTTGAGGTGCTGCACCCGCGACCGGCGCCGCCGAACCCTCCAGTAGGCGTACCCGGCGGCCGCCGCCGCCACCGCCACCAGGCCCGCGACCACTCCCGCCACCGCACCCGCCGCGGCCGAGGACGATGACGAGGCCCCCCCGCCGCCAGGCGCAGACGTCACGGATTCCGCCAACACCGCAGACCCCCCAGAGCTCGCCGGATCCGCGGATTCCCCAGATTTTGCCGACGCGCCGGATTCTGCCGACGCCGGAGACTGCCCGCCAGCCCCGGCGGCGGAGCAGTCCACGCCGAACACGGTGCCTTCCTCGCCGGGCGGGCACCCGACCTCGTTTCCGTTCAAGAGCACCTGGGCGCCCGTGGACTCCGCGGCTTGCACCAGCCAGAGGGGGATCCCTCCGTTTAGCGCGTTGTGGGACAGGTCCAGCGCGGGCGGCGGCTCGTCGGGAGACCGCCGCGGGCCGACCTGGCCGGCAGTGGCCGCGGCGAACATTCCCAATGTGGCCCACGCGTCCGGCACGCCACCCTCGAAGTGGTTCCGCGAAAGGTTGACGTCCGCGGCCGCCGGGAGCAGCCCGCCCACCGCCGCCAGGGTGCCCGTGAATCCATTCCCGGCGATGCTGAATCGGCGGATGTTTGGCGCCCGAGCAAGAGGGGTGGGGAATGTGCCCGTGATGTTGTTTTCCGCCAGGTCGACGACCTCGAGCGCCTCGGAATCGACCGTCCAGGCAGCGGGAAGGGCCGTCAGTCGGTTCCCGTTCAGCAGCAAGGTGGCCAGGGTCTGCGAAGCCGCCAGTCCGTCGGGCACGGGCCCCTCCAGCCGATTCGAGGACAGGTCGAGGAGGACCAGGGGCTGCCGTGCCCCGAGGTCCGGAGGGATCGAGCCGGTGAGGCCGTTGCCGGAAAGGTCGAGGATCCGCAGGGCAGCGGCCTGGGAGAGGGAGGCCGGTAATGGGCCCGTCAGCTGGCTGTTGGAGAGCGTCAGGGCTTGGAGCTTGGGGGCAGAAAAGGCGTCCGGGAGACCGGCTCCGATCGGGCAGTCCGCCATGTGCAGCCCCGCCAGCGCGCTGTCCTCAAGGAACAGGCAGTCCGGTATGGGCCCGGCGACGGAGTTGTTGGACAGATCCAGGAACGAGAGGCTGGCCGTCGCGAAGTCGCAGACGGCGTCCCCCAGCGGGGTGGGCCCCGAGGACCCCTCCCCCAGTCTGTTGTCACGCAGACCCAGGTGTTCCAGCCGTGGCGCCAAGTCCTTGAGCTCGCCCAACAGGGCGTTGATGTCGCCAGTCAGCCTGTTGCCGTCCAGCTCCAGCTTCCGCAGTCTGGACAGTTTGGCGATTTGGCTGGCCGGCAGCCGGCAATCCAGGCCCAAATTCCGCATGCTGAGTCGGAGCAGGAATCCTTTGCTATCGCACACGTTGGGTTGCCAGTGGCAGAAGTCCAAGAAGCGGAACTGTCCAGCAGCTAGGCTGGCGTTGTCCGGCGGCCTCTGCGTCCATTCGTGACAGGCTTCCCCTTGGCAGCACTGCTCGTATATGGAATTCAGGACGTCACGCTCATCTTCGTTTAAACTGCGGCGGGAATAATCAACGTCCACCTCCAACTCGAAGTCGATGCCCCTCTCATCCGTAGGGCTGCGACCACTGTCAATTACTGCCACACAGCAAACAATAAAGTTACATGCTTGGAAGCACACGCCTGAAACACGCTTGCTGCTCAACACTTGCTGAACGCATTCAAGCGTGTGATGTTGCCAGCAGGTCCTGGAAGTGCAAACGTGTAGCTAGCTGGTTGTCTTGGATCAAAACTTGTCACTGAATTCCTTGTATTGCATCTGCACCAAAACGGAAAAGCGTGGCCCTTGCTCTTTCAGTTGCTGACTGACATTTCGCCCCAAATAAAGGAAGTTTACAGAATAGGGAAACAAACCAGAAGAATCTGCCTTGATTTCTGACCTGCCAGGGCCCTCCATCCCAAAGCCAACACCAACCCCACCCATCCATCCACACACACACACACACACACACACACACACACACACCAGAGCACCTGTTCCTGGTTTTCTAAGGGCATTTATGCTCTCCACGCTGCTGGCCCTGGCTAGATGGGTTTCTGGACGAACACTGCTTGAGCTATTTTGTTTGCCCACCAAGCGCCCGTCATAGCCTCGTTGCTCCCGGGCCTGAATGTACTTTGTGCATGGTTGTACGACACACCCGACCCCCAGCATCACAACCACACATCTTGTAGCACAGGGGTGGCACTTGGACACTGAAATTGACATAATGTTTTGGAACCGAAAAACATACGAATTGTTCCCAGTTTGGCAACACGGTCTGAATGATCAAACTTCCTGGATGTTGTCCATTCTACTTTGCAGAGCATACCAGCTTGATGGACAGTATCCATTTGCAAGAATGATCAGCACGTACTCTTCAATTTTCCTGCTGGACGATGTTTCATTGACCACAGCAGCCCAGAACACTTGCTCACGCTGCAAGCAGGTTGACATGAACTGGGTTTATCCAATCTCAGGGCCACCAACATCCATTCATTCTCCAGTCACCCACCGCCCGCTAGCCTCTTCTTGCCTTCCCCAACCGATGTGCCTAAGCTAGTTTGCCATTGTCCAGGCAATGAATTCTAATCCCCTATTCACTCGCATCTTGAAAAAGACCTCTCCACTGGCTTTCAACAACCTGTACATTGCCCACTGTCCACTGCACAGTTTCCAGAGGCTTGAGGCAACTCGCTGCCAGTGGAAGAATCGCCATGGACACAAACAACCCCAGATTTGACCAGCTCCGACGCATCTCAATAGGAGCAAGGCCCAGCTGCAGCAGCATTGCAGCCAAAAACGGATCCTATTTGCTATACTTCGTTCTTTGCAAGGGAAAAAGAGCGTCTATGGACGGCAACACAGCATTCGCCCCAACCCAACCCACCCATTCTCGTGCCTGCCAACCCCATTACCAAATCCCACTCCTCTCATTGACTGTGTGGTTACTCTTTTCCTCAACGAACAATCTTGCACCCCCATCACCCACCCACCACCCTCTGTTTCCTTCGCTTCCCATGGCTACATGTTCACTTGCCATTCTTGCTTGTGCTGAGTGCTTGTCATCGTGCACTGCAAGACTCCACATCTCAGCACGGAAACGAGTCCCCCACACACTCCCTCAGGTCGGGCAGCCCTGTCTCCTCTCGAATTGCAACAAACCTCCCCCCCGGCCCCCTTTTTCTTGCCTTTTGTGTGGCTCGCGTTGTGTGCTCGTCATTTCGCATCTGAGACTCTTCGTCATCTTTTCACAGCACTCCAAAAGTCTCTTGTACGGTTGCTGAGGAGCGGGTGCCCTTGTCCGGCCTGTTTCTTTCTCCCTTTGTAACAAATCCCACCCCTACCTCCCGCTCACTCCTTCTACCCTCCCCACCCGCCACACCCCCAGAACCGACCCATCCACCCCCGCACCTGCGCACGCGAACACAGACGCGTTCACCTCCGGCAGCTGCAGCACCCTGTAGCTCTCCGACTCGCTCGAGATGAACACGAAGTCCTCCCCGCCCGCGTGCCTGCTCGCCCAGGCCGCATCCCCCACTCCCGGCACCGCATCCGCCGCGCCCGCCAGCTCCTCCACCGACGAGCACAGCAGATCGGCGTCGCCCTCACCGCCCACGGTGCGGAGCGTGATCATCACGTCCGGCATGCGACCCTCCACCTCGGGCACCGCGAACCGCAGCGGGTAGCTGCCCCCCGGTGACAGGCTGCCCACGGCCGTGTCGCAGGTGAACAGGGATCGGAATCCGTCGCTGACGTCGCCCAGGGCGAGCAGGGCGGAGTTTTCGCATGCGCAGAGGGCGCCGGGCAGGGCCAGCAGCAGCAGGGCAGCCAGGAAGGCGCCGGGCGGAGAGCGCGCGAGGGGCGGCATGGCTTCCGCGCGGTGCGGCAGCAGCAAGAGGACGTTCGGCTTATGGTCGCCTTGTGGAGCGATGCGTTAGTAAGGGATGCTGAGCTGGCGAACTTCGCGACGCCTTTCACGTTGGGCTTCGCCTGTGACGTGCGGCGAGCAGCCTTGGTTCGCGACGCCTTTCACGCTGGTGTTCACTCCTGACGTGCCAAGACAGGGCGCCGCGTCGGTTCACGGCTGGTCCCGAAATGGTCTGGCAATCGAGCATGGGCAGCCGGGTGCGCTGCACTCCCGTCTCCCGTCCTGGCGGAAGGGATGTGGGGATCCATGTGAGCGGAAACGTGTGCAAGCGAACGGGCAGAGGGCATCTTTATCGGTCGGTGCTATCCAGGAGCGGTTCTCATTGGCTGCCGTGCCACCTTACTAAGGCGGCATTGCCAAATAGCACCGGTGCTATTGCTCCCCTGCGTGCATCCGCAATGGTGGGTGCTATTCCTGTGCTGAATAGCATCATGGCAGCACTACAATGTTCTGCACGAATAGCACCGGGTGCTATTTCGGGGTGGTATTTGGCCGCGAGCTGTGCTATTTGGCCGCGAGCTGTGCTATTCGGGCCCAGAATAGCACCGCCGGGACAATAGCACCCACCGATAAAGATGCTCTAAGGAAGATGGCAGCTTGCATGGAAACGGGGCGACGAAGCAGGGTCGACACGAGGGGGTTGTCAGCAGATGGCGTGCAGTGCACCGGCGTCCCAACTTGTTGAAGAGAGAACAAGTCCCTGTGCCAGCACTTCTGGGCGTGGGCAAGTTGTAGAGGTGGATCAAGAGGGCTGGTCGAGGCAGTTTCGCAAGTGCGCTGTACTGTATGCATTGCTTTGGCATCTAGAAATTCTAGCGCCGCTTTCTGAGGATTTCATTTCTCGGCGTCCTGCCCGGCGATTGTCATTTAATTTCCTTTTGGCATGCACCACCAGCGTCGCACAAGGGGGGCGGGGAGGGGGGCTGCATGAGCAGAGGAATAGCTTGGCTGGCGTCATGACCGGTGCAAAGGGGTCCCTAGTTTGGCGCTGGAGGTCGCGTCGAAGCAATGACGCTGGAGTGCATATGCCGAATCCACAAATCCGCAAGCTTTTTGAAAACGAAGAGGCCGGCTTCGACCTGGCTTTTACAGCCTGATCCGTGGCGCCGCACACATGTGTGGGAGCTTGCAGATTGAGGCTGTAGTCGCGTGGCCACATATTGAACACCATTCACTGGGTGGATCAGTTATGTTTAACTGTTAGCTATTGCTCTTGTTTCCAAGAGCGTTTGTTTTTGCACGGGATGGCCGACCTCACCGCCACTACGAAATTCATCTTGATATACGCAGGAACTTCTTTGATATAATGTCGGTTTCATTTTACCCAGGCCTTGTTTTTACGCCGTAAAAACTGATCATATTTATGTTTTTACGCGTAAAAATGCGTAAAAATACGTAAATACAACGTAAAAACTGTCCGGTGTACATAAGGACAGTACATACAGACTTACGGTGTCCAGAGAGTGGCAGCCAGACGCCCTGGAAGGGGCAGAAAACGAGTTTTTGTTAAACACCATCATCGCCCTTGCCAAGGGCGAGGTGGACACTGTGTTGTGGGTGCTGGATATGGCGGAGGACTGATCATTGTAGGCAACTTTCATCGTGTAATCTGGGCGTCCCAGGGGCCGTAAAAACGTAAAAATAGCCGTAAAAATAGGGCCTTTTGCAAATTTACGTTTTTACACGTAAAACGTAGAAGTAAAAACGTAAATGTAAACGTAAAAACCAAGCCTGATTTTAACTGATTCAGCTCATGGGTTGCCTTTTCGATCACGCTCATGTTTGTATGTGACAACATGAGCTTTTATGCAAAAAGGCTATGCGGCTGATATGGAAGTCCCTCGGTCAGGGTATGTTGTCCACAAGTGATCTTGTGGAGAAGTTGTGGTTGTGTTACTTCCACGATTTTAGGGAAGGCGCTACGTCGAATTTGGTATGCTTAGCGTCAATTTGACGCTGGGGTGGGGGGTGGGGGGGTCCGGACTATGTCGCTAAGAGATTATGTAGTGGCTACAAAATCGATGTAGAGTGGGAAGATACACAAAAGAACTCCACTGATCACAGGCAACTCAGCTCCGAACTTGTTCCCAAATTTCCTTCAAGCATTCAATCTTCATTGAAGACCTCACAATACTTCAACAGGGTGCCATCGACGCTGCCATCACCCGCAATGACCATTATCATCTTGTTGTGCAGCCCATTATAACTGCTGCAATTCTGGCCACTTGTGTTCCTTAAACACCTTGAAATTACCTAGCTTCGTCATGCAATGTTGTTGAGTCATCCTGGCATCGACATATGGATTGACACTCCGAACTTGTTCCCAAATTTCCTTCAAGCATTCAATCTTCATTGAAGACCTCACAATACTTCAACAGGGTGCCATCGACGCCGCCATCACCCGCAATGACCATTATCATCTTGTTGTGCAACCCATTATAATTGCTGCAATTCTGGCCACTTGTGTTCCTTAAACACCTTGATATTACCTAGCTTCGTCATGTAATGTTGCTGAGTTATCCTGGCATCGACATATGGATTGACGCTAGAGGGGGTGGGGTGGGGGTCTGGGCTGAAGGCCAAATTCACGGTATTACTTAAGGCGTGCTAAAATAGGCTTAACGTCTTCCCTAACAATGCTTTGATTTTCTTGCTTATTTTGTTTTGCAAATATCTCTTAAGGCTGCCAATGGCCGTGTGAAGGTCTGAACAGTCGGAAACGTTGTCCTTGAGCGGCGGAGTGGTGTTGAATCGCCGGGCTTCTCTGTGCTTAAGAGAAGCACTTAAGAGAAGCATTTAAGAGAAGTATATCCTTTGCTTCATCATTGTGTTTTGATCGCGGTGGAGGGCCCGTGTTCCAGTAGCCCACACCTCAAACTGGGTTCTGACAGAAAGGACGTCCGTGACTTGTACACGTCAACTATAAAACATATTTTATATGTGGCTTTGCACTGGGTTGGCATATGTTGGAGCTATTTGATGGGCGTTTGTGATTATGTGGATCCCAGGGCAACTCCCTTCCGTTCAAAATGTCCCATTGCGCCATGCTATAAACCTATTAGGTAGCATATTTGCACAACGTCGATCCCACTATCGTGGAATATTGTTTCAATGTCATGTTAATAATTTCGCTGTATTTGGGCTGGTGCTGGCGGCACCCGCCACCATAAATATTATATTGATCTCAGCATTTTCGGTGCCTAAGCTTGCAGTTTCGCGGCAGAACCACAAGTGACGGTGTTGAAGGTGGCAGCGTGACTATACTTGCCACAGGGATCTGTGCAATATTACTACCAACCCCAAGCAAAACTACTTGCTCTAAAAGATACCCTAAATGCAGGCCTTTTTGAGACATAACACTTCCATCGCATCTGTGATTGTCTGCCTCTAAAGTTTCCTACAGGTGCGGTTATGTTACAACTCTTTGACATAAAATGGCTGAGGTATCAAACCTGGCGAACGAAGGCAGTAGTACATTGTAATGTTGGCAGTCAAGTCACTGGCGGCTCTGGCGGCCTACTGGCGGTTCCGCCATGGCGGAACCGTATCAACTGGCTAAACGTTGGTTACAGCCTGGTGCCCGCCACTGGATGTGAACTTGCCCCCGCGACTGCTCCCCAAGGCCGGGTGTCGGCCAAGCGACAACTTGTATGCAATGCATACACACAGGATGCTCACAATACTGTGATGCCATCACAAAGTGTGAAGATGAGATAAAACACACACAGGGTCTCGGCACAAGAATATTACAAGTATTGTACAACCCAAGAAGATTACGCCTGTGTTAATCCCCGCTAGGATCTGTGGAATGAAGGCGGGGAAGCTCCCGCCTTAGTCACTCCCGCCAACATGGCCATAAGTGGCCATCTCCTCCCACCCACTGCTCATTCACCACTGCCGTCCAAGGGATGACCTCCTTTTGGCCCGTAAGGAACCACGGGAGGTTTAGTTGGACTTCTTCACTGATGAAGGGAGGGTTGTCGGGGTCACAGTTCTCCACAGCGCCTTCACAAGCGTAGTACTGCACTTCAAAGTGGCG